TTTTTTTTCAGTACCAGGATTAAACTCAGGACCTTACACTTTTGAGGCAGGGGGCAGAACCACTGAGCTAAATCCCTGGCCCTGGACCAGAGGTTTTCAAACCTTCCTCAGCAGAAACAATTAGGAAACTTTTAAAAAACTATTTGGAGGCCAGGAATTTCACTCAGTGGTGCTGCCACCTTCCTCAAAAGCCCAAGGCCCTGAGTTCCAACTCTGGTACCAAACCAAACCAAACCAAACAAAAAAACTAATTGGAGGCTGGGGATATAGTTCAGTGGTAGAGTGCTTGGCTATCCTGTGCAAGGTTGTGGGTTCCATCTCAAAAAAATCATTAATGTCTGGAAATAGAGCTCTAGAACACACATTTTTAAAAAAGTTCCCCAGGAGAAACCAGGTGTGGTAGTACACAGCTATAATCCCAGCACTAAAGGTGGCTGAAGCAGGAGAATCACAAGTTTGAGTCCTGTTTAGGCATTTTAGTGAGCCTGTCTCAAAATAAGAGGGGCTGGGGTAAAGTTTCTCTGGGTTCAGTCCCCAGTGCTGAGGGGAAAATAAAAAGTTTCCCAGGGGGTTAGACTATCAGTAAGATCTGATCTAGGTTTCATGTGAGTCACTGTTGCAAGCAAATCACTGACTGAAAACTGCTAGACTAGTTACTCATCCAAGAACAGCCATAAGGCAGCCTGTGATTGATTTCCAGGTAATGGAGCCCATGCTTAGAGTTGAGAGGAGGAATAGTTGGAAAGACTTAGGAAAGCTCCTCCAAGAGAACTTAGACATCTCACAGGGGTCTTGTTAAATGGAAAGGCTCTAACTATGAATTTTTGCGACGTCTGGATAGACTTTATTGGAAAATTCCATGACATTTATTTATTAGAAGTATCTGTTCTGTGTGGATGTCACTTTGGCAAAATTTTAAATCAGATTGGGGTTTTCCATCTTATCATATTTGGGCATTAATCTGTGAGCCTAAGGAACACATTCATTTTAATGTTAGCCTCACTCTGGCCAATTATTATTTCCAAGCAGAATTTAATTGATGACACTCTCAGAAATGATCTCCCCCCATCCTGTGTGTGTGTGTGTGTGTGTGTGTGTGTGTGTATCTAAGTCCACTTATTCTGATTCCTATTCTAAACACTGTTCTCAGTGCTGGATGAGACAAGTTTCTTCCTATAAGAAGCTACTGTCTTCCCCTGGTCACCAAGCCCTGAAGCCATATTTGGCTCTCCTCTCTCCACTGACTTTTCAAATCCACTTGGTTGCCAAATCCTATTGCTTCTGCTTTTCACTCACACAACAAATGTTTACTGGGTACTTGCTAAGAGCCTATGCAAGGTACTTTAAATGTTTTATTTTACTTTATTTCCATAGCAACCTCATGACAATGGAGAGGATTCTCACAGCGCAAAAAAAATCAGTCTTGGAGAGGTCAGACAACTTGCCCAAGGAAGCAAACTAGGCAGCAGAGGAGCTGTGAAAGGGGTCTCGCGTGTCCCCTTAGGGTGTCCCCTTCCCAATCAGGTCACTCACGCACCGAGAGGTCCGAGAGGTCCGACAGGAGGTCTTTATTGTAGAGAGTCAGGCGGAGCACAAAGGCCGGGAGGCGGAGAGGAGAGAGAGAGAGAGGAGGAAGAAGCAGCAGAAGGAGAGAACAAAGAAAGGAAGGTCCTTTTATCAGTTTGGGGTGGGCTATTGCTTATTTATGAGGAGTGAGTTACTTTTAACCTATCACAGGCCAGATTGCTTTTATGGGCCCAGTCCTGCAGACACAGGTTTCAACTTTCCTGGACCACTGTGGCCTTGGGGGGGAGGGAAACCAGAGATAAGGGCATGAGGTCATTTTAGGAGCCAAGATGTACCAGGAGAATGCAGCCTGTGAGGCGGTGTCACAGCATACTTTAACATGATCAATTCCCTAACGAGCTGGGCTTCAAGTGTGGTCTTTCAGGTGTAATTTATCTCCCACCAACCACTTCATTCCCAGAGCAGATTCCAACTCCTTAGCCTAGCACTTGAGGCTCTGCTACCTTCTAGGTCTTGTCACAACTTTCCTTTCTTCCCTTGAGCCCATCACTCACGACTCTGTTTCTTGAGTGCCTTCTCAACACTCTGCCGTTGCCCACTCTTTCTTGCACTTGAAAGTTAGCCCTCCCCATCTTCCTCTGCCCTCTGCTCCCAAGCTTAGGGAGCCCTCTCTCCTCAGCACTTTTCCACTGTTTTATCTGACTCTCTGTTATGACAGTTGGAATTTGCCCCTGCTTCAGTGTCATGTGGGTGACATGTGTCCTGTGGCCCTGCTGTAGGTCATGTGTGTGTGCATCCTAGCGACAAGAGAGGAAGAGGGTCGGGTGCTGTGACTAAGGAGCTCCCATCCTCCTTTGCTTTGGCTGTATCAGGAGTTTAGCTGCTGCTGCTGCTGCTGCTTCTTTTTTTTTTTTCTTTATTCATTAAGTGTATTGGTACATTTTAGGTATACATTATGATCACATTCATTATTGGGAATTAGTACCTGTACATGAGATGTCTTGGTTCTCATTTTTTTCCCTTTCCCTTCCTTCAGTCCCTCCACCTCTCCCTATTTACATAAGCTTTATTTCAGTTTTTTCCTTCTTTTTTCATTTTTTTCTTTCCCTTTTTTCTCCCTCCACCTTCCCCTTCCCCTTTCCCTTTGAACATTTTCTCCCTATTTCACAATATCTGTTATACATTTTGGTTCTCATTACACGCAGAGAAACAATTCAGTATTTTCATGTGTGTCGTTTATTTCACTTAAAGAGTTTGGCCTCAAGGTGCATCCATTTTTAGCTATAAATGTCTCTAGTTTATCTTTATGGCTGAGTAGTACTCCGTTTTATTTTTAAAACTCCACATTTTTTGGTACCAGGAATCGAACTCTGGTCCTTGCGCTTGCCAGGCAGGCAGCAGAACACTGAGTTAAATCCCCAGCCCCACATCTTTATCCAATCACCAGTTGATGGGCATTTGGGCTGTTTCCAAGATTTAGCTATTATAAATTCTGCCGCTATAAACATGGATGCACATATATCAATGTGGTAGGATGCTTTTAATTCTTTCAAGAAGATACCCAGAAGGGGAACAGCTGGGTCAAATGGGACCCACCTCCTAGATTTTTGAGGAATCTCCACACCTGTTTACACAGTGGTTGTACCAGGCTGCACTCCCACCAACAGTGGAGAAGTGTTCCTTTTTCCCCACATCCCTGCTAGCATTTGTGTGGCCCTGTTATTGGTTAATTTCTTGATAGCAGCCATTCTTGGTGGAGTGAGGTGAAATCTCAGCATTATTTTCATTTGCATCTCTTGAATGGCCAGTGATATTGAACATTTTTTCACATGTTTATTTGCTGTTTCTACTTCTTTATCTGAGAAGTGTCTATTCATTTCAGATGCCCATTTTTGGGTTGGGTCTTTAAATTTGGGGGTCTGATTTTTTTGAGTTCTTTATATATTCTAGATGTTAGTCCTTTGTCTGAGGAGCAGCTGGTAAAAATTTTTTCCCACATTGTGGGTTTCTTCACTCTGTTAGTGGTTTCTTGCTGTGCAAAGCTTTTTAATAAGATGAGATCACAGTTGTTGATTCTTTGTGCTGGTTCCCATGGAACTGAAGTTTTGTTCATAAAGTCTTTTTCTATGCCAGTGTCTTCAAGAGTTCCATCTATCTTATCTTCCAGCAAGTTTAGTGTTTCTGTTTTAATATTTAGATCTTCGATCCATTTCAATTTTAGTTTGGGGCATGGTGAAAGATCTGGATCTAATTAATCTTTGGCAAGTTGAAATCCAGTTTTTCCAGCACCATTAGCTTCTTTTTTTTTTTTTTTTTTTTTTTTGGTACTGGGGGTTGAACTCGGGTCCTTGCGCTTGCAAGGCAGGTCATTGAACCGCTGAGCTAAATCCTTGGCTATTACCTTCTTTTTTTAAGACAACTGAGTTTCTTTTTTATTTTTCGAAACAAGGTCTTGCTGTGTTGCCCACACTTTAGTCTTGAACTCCTGGGCTCATAAAATCATTTATTGTCTTCTAAAGTTCAATAGAATGAAGTTAGGATTATATGGGGCTTTCCATTTGGGGGAGTGATTTCCAGTGAACAGGACAATTGGGAGTTCACAGTGAGAAGATCTGTGTGTAACAGTGATTCTGCCTGAAGGCTGGGGCTTTAGCTCTGTGGCCCTGTGCCTGCCTCACAAGCTCAAGGTCCTGAGTTTAATCCCCAGTAGGGATGAAAAAAAAAAGTAAACTAGTGGTTCTGCCTGTGACTTTAAACAGCTTACATACTCTGCTAGGACCTTGGTTTCTTCATCAGTAAAGTGTATACAGGTACTGGGCAGGGAGGGTGAGACGACTGTGAGGAGAATTAACAGAAATAATCTCTGGGGTCTCTTCTTGCCCTGGCATGTTTTGACTTGAACTCTCTATACCCTCCCAGAGCATGTTAAAGGAAGCAGAACAATGTGAGGATTAATAATGTGAGATGCTTTTATTGGATGTAAACCACAGAAATCTAAATTCTGAGCCGGACATGGTGGCGCACGCCTGTAATCCCAGCACTCGGGAGGCTGAGGCAGGAGAATCTCTATGAGTTCGAGACCAGCCTGGGCTACACAGTGAGTTCCAGGTCAGTCTCAATGACATAGTGAGACCCTGTCTCAAAAAAAACAAAAACAAAAACAAAACAAAGAAATCTAAATTCTGTTGGTTTATGTTTTAGTTGTTCTGGGGTGCTGTGTATGGAACCCAGGGCCTTGTTCATGCTAGGCAAGCACTCTGTGCCCCTAGCCCCTGTTAGTTCTGTTGGCTTAAACATGCAAGAGAATTTATAGATTCAGGTAACTAGAAAGTTTAGGAGTTGGTCAAGCATCAGATATGGTTCAGCCTGGGGATTCTTATGTTTTCATGAATGCAGCTTATTTCTCTGAGATTCTCCCAGCTCTGCCATCCACTGTGATAGCCTCATCCTCAAAGGTGGCAAAATGAGTGCAATAGTTCAAAGCCACTTGACAAGGAACATCTGTACATCATGCTGATTCAAAACAGCAAAGAATATTTTTCACCTCAACCATCAAACCAAAGTCTTGCTTGGGCTTTATTCTGATTGGACCAACTTAATGTTACGTTTCCACTCTTTGTCCAAACACCTCCCAGGGCCTAAAAAAGACTGAAAGGCTCTGGTCATATTGGGCTTGGCTCTTGAGGTTAGGGAGGGGTCGGCTCCACCAGAGTCACAGGCCATGGGGCCTGGGAAGTTTGCGCACATCACCATGTTGTAGCCACCCTGCCTCGTGACCTGATTCTGGTTCTGCTAGCTGTGTGTTCTTGGGCAAATTACCTAAATTAGTAAGCATCAGTTTCCTCGTCTGTAAAATGAGTTCATAATACATATATCAGAGGACTGTTTTGAGGATTAAATTAAATAATAGATGTAAAGCACTTGGCAGAGTTCCTGACAGAGTGTGACGATGATGCTGGTGTTGAGAAATTGAAGGATCGGGAACAATGGTATCAGTTGCAGTCTAGGAAGCAGCGAAGTCCAGGAATGGGGCCTAGACGGAAGCCGGCATATCTGTCGCAGGAAGCCCTCATTTGGTCTGCCCGTGTCATGCTCCTGACCTATGCCTTTCTGTGCTCGTCCATTATGTCTTGTCTAGAAATGTTTTCCTCCTGTGGTCTGCCTCACCAAACCTCCTCATCTTCCAAAGCCCTACACAAGTGCCGCCTTAGAGTCAGTAATTTAAGTCAGACATTGAGTCACCCTGTCCCAGTTATATTTAAGAGCTGATTGTCTAGATTTGCCTGGCCGGGGTTTGTCACCTCGTGCAGGGCAACTTGGGGAATTATTCAACTTCCCTGTGGTTCCCCTCTTCTATAAAACAGGTTTTAACACTACCTGCTTCAGAGAGTTGTTGAGAGAACAAAGTGACATAATGTACACAGGGTTTAGCATGGTGCTGAAAAGTCAATACTAGAACTTAGTAGCTTGATGAGGGCAAGGTCCCTGCTGTCTCTGCAGCAGTTACTGCTATGCTAGGCACATAATAGACGCTGAGTAAATACTTGGAAGATTTTTTTTTTTTTTTTTTTTTTTTGGTACCGGTGATCAAACTCAAAGACCTTGGGCTTGAGAGGCAGGTGCAGTGCCATTGTACTAAATCCCTGGCCTTGGAGGATTTTGAAGAGGATGGAAGTTTTTTTTCCTCTTCACCATTTCCTTACCCCACCAGAAAAAAAAAAAAAAAAGTCTTCCCCTAAACTATGGAAAAGTCATTGTAGCAAAATAGATGATCTGGTTGATATCATGGGTGACTGGCAGGGAGGATGGAGTGATAAGTGCAGGAAGTAGATAAGGGGTGGCATGTGACTTGTAAGGAACAAGAAGCTAAGAAGAGACCAGCAAGAGGCTGTTCTGTGTTTCACCCTCCAGCCATCAAGTGTAGCATCGCTGCAGTCATTTGGGCCACCTGGTGATGAGATGGGGACCAGCCAGTCCATGTGCTTTCCGCCTGTCTCCGGACCCCACCTTGTAGGCTGTGGGGATGTGATGGAGGGCCAGGGTCTCCAGGTAGGTGTCTCCAGCTCCGCCCCTGCACACCTCCACGGCCTGCCTGCACTGACTTCATGAGCACGGCTCTGGGTATGCAGTTCCAGGTCGGGAAGGCCGAGCTCCAGCTGGTCTGGATTTGGTTTTAACCCTGGGTCTGTCTTTCCTGGCCATTTTTCTTCTTCCTTCCAAGCACCATATTAGAAAACTTCCCAGTTGACAGAGACAATGAGGTCTTTCTTCAGCTAGGAGGAAAGGGGCCCTAGCTTCAGAGACAGCTCACAGATCCTCTCCCCTATCTTGAGAGCAGATGCCTAACTGGAAAGGTTGTTTTATTTTATCCTAATGCAAATGGATAAGAAGAGCAGGGCCATGTGCCTTTGCCCTTGACTCCTCTCATCTCCTTTCTGCCATCATGTTTCCCTCCTGCTGCTTCTGGACTTTGCTTCTACCCGATTTTTCTCTGCTGGCCCCTGGACTCGCCTCTCCCTTGTGAGAGGTGCACACTCGCTGGTAACCCTTCAGCTACTCCCATATAAAATGAGTGTCTGCTGTACCCTAGGAGCCGGCCTGGAGCAGCACAGGGACAAATCTCTAGCTCCAAGAGGTGGGCTCAGGGCCAGATTTAAATCTTTCAGTGTCCCAAGAGCTCCAATATTTAGTACCCCCTCCCACACACAAGATGTAACTCAAAATCATTGGCTATTTGAAATAGCACAAGGCTTTCATGTATGCTGAAAATAAAATTGCTTCTTTCTGGATTTCCTGAAAGTGAAAGGCCAGGTATGGCAACCTCTCTCCCTGTGTTGGTGCCCTTCCTGGCTAGAGCCACAGACACCCGCAGGGTGTGTCTGCTAAGAAATCTCACGGCGCATGGACTTCTTGCTCTGAGCTGCTGTTCTCTTCTTTCTTACAGGGGAGCTTCTTTCGACTCTTCTACCCCTGCCAAGAGGCAGGGGAGACCACGGAGCAACCCCTGTGGATTCCTCGCTATGAGTACTGCATGGGCCTGGCTGATTACCTGCAGTTTAATAAGCGCTGGGTGGGGTTGCTGCTCAGCGTGGCTGTGGGTAAGGCTGGCCCGGCCCTAGGTGTTTCCTCTGTTGCCTGGTTCTGTCCTTAGGTGATCTCCAGGCAGACACAGTACCTTTAAGCTTGTAGAGCCTGTCCTTTTGTAGTGGGTGGGGTTGGACAAGTTACCCTGATTGAACTCCTGCCTTTGCAGGGTTGTAGTAGGGATGTATGTCAAGCCTCTAGTGCAGTGCTTAGGACATTGAATGGGTCTCGTAAGTGGCAGCTATGAGTCCTTTATGCAGTGGCTGTTGATTCCCACTCTGCCAGCTGTCCTGCAGATTGCCCATTCTTCACTCTCAGGGAGCAGACAGCCTCCTGCAGTGCTCCCTCCAGCCCTCCCCTCTTCTGGGCAGGGTCTCATTGAATCATCTACTTCCTGCAAAGGGTCCCAAGCCCCGGAACTCTACTGCCTTGGTGTCCCAAGGATTCGCCCCAGAATATTCAGTATTGCCTTTTTTGTTTGCTTGGTTTGTTTGTTTGTAGTGGAACCCAGGGCCTTGTGCACCGAGCATCTGATCCACCACTGAGCTTGACGCACCCCTTTAAATGTATCTTCCCATTTTTTATTTTGTTCACTCTCTCTAGAAAAGAAAAGAGGAGGGCCGGGTGTGATGGCGCACACCTGTAATCCCAGCACTCAGGAGGCTGAGGCAGGAGGATCGCTGTGAGTTTGAGACCAGCCTGGGCTACATAGTGAGTTCTAGGTCAGTCTCCACTACATAGTGAGACCCTGTCTCAAAAAAAAAAGGGGGGAAAGAGTAGATGATGATTGCCCTGGAGTGCTTAGGGAAAATTTGTGGATCTCCAGAATGGGGGCGGACACTGATGCCTGCCATGCCTGTGCTTGGTCTGCCCTTGGGATTACAACTTCTGGGCAGCCAGGAATTCTATAGCCCATGTCTCTGCCAGGATCTTGTTGCCTGCCTGTCAGCTGGAATGGCCCCTTTAAGACAAAGGACTCTGGGTACCCCTTGATCATCTTCTCCCATGGCCTAGGAGCTTTCAGGTAAGAATTTCTGAAACCCAGAGCATGATGTATTCTTAGTTACAACTGATGAGTCTTAAGTTATCCTTACAGGGTGGAGTCACAGACATTTCCACGTGCCAGATGGTCCTATTTCTGTCTGCCTCCTACCAAGCATTGTGTCCAGCTTCTCTCAAAGGTCTCTCGCAAACCCTGTTACCGGATGGAGCCTCAGACCCCTCACTTTTCATTGCTAGCATTTATGTAAATGGACACTTTCCTGTCCTCCTGTGCTATAGCCCAAAGTTCTAGGACAGCTTGACCTTTATAAAGGACCTTACAGTCGTTTATTCACCCTGTGTCGAGGGCCTGTTCTGTACGTGGCATCGGCATGATGGGGAATAAGAGAGACTTGGCTCCCTGCACTCACAGAGCCAGCACCCTCACTTCCAACCCTCAGCCGGTTGCTGGGCACTCTGAGCTTGGGGCCCAGGTTTCGGCATCTGCCACCTGGGCGTGCCACTCCCACACCGAGGTCTGTGAGGAGCAGCCATGCAGGAGGGCTCACGCTGAGAGGTGAACATTCCTGTCTTCTCTCCCTTCCTCCACGGGGAGGGACAGAGTGATCGTTTCCACTAGACTTTGGGGGAACTTTGGCTTACATTTCAGGAATCTCCCCATGAATTCTGATTTCCACACCATGATGATACTGTAGCTTAATAATTGTAGCCCAGGGCCAGGGATTTACCTCAGTGGTCCCAGCGCATGCCTCGCAAGCACAAGGACCCGTGTTCTATTGCTGGTACCAAAATAAAATAAAATAAATAATAATAATAATTGTAGCCCAGGTGTTCCTGATCAAGCTTGTGAATGTTTTCTCTGTTCATCAACATATATGTTGATTTCTAGCATGGCAGCATTTCAAAGGCCTTTCTATCCCCAATTTCTACTCCCATTGTCCACACTATAGCCAGGGAGATCTGTTTTAAAACCAAATATGATCTTGTCAATTCAGCACCTTGAACAGTGCCTGGCATATAGTAGGTGCTCGATAAATGTTTGTTGAGTGACTGAATGACTGTCCTTAATGAAAAATTTTAATAGCACCTTGAACTTCATTCCCTTCCTTTCATGGTCTTACCTAGATGCCGGCCCAAGATAAAGTTTCATTTCTTGCTACTTCCCCGCTTCAGCTCTCTGGACGAGCTGACCTTCTTTTACTTAATTTAGAGGAATTGTGTTATTTCTTGTCTTGGGGTCTTTATCTCTACTGTACTTTATGGCTTTTTCCTTTGAAATATTTGCTTTTCTTCTCATCTCTTCCTTTACTCCCTTTCATCTCTTCCCTGAATTCCAAGTTACATTTAAAGGCTTAGTTAGGGACACTCATTCTGACCCCTTTATTATACTAAGTTAAGTTTTCCAGTACAATTTGTACTTTTCAGTGCTTAACAAGATTGTAATGAATTTATTATTATGTAATTATTCTTTTTTGAGGGATCTGGGGATTGAACCTAGTCTTTGCAATGAGCTACATCCCCACCCCTTTTTTAATACTTACCAACCCTTGTGTACCTCTAGCTTTTACCTGAGAGAGAAACTTTATTATGTTTAATCACTCTTGTTGGGTAATTTTCTGTTAAATACAACTTGCCCAAATCCTAACTGATACAAGAAGATTGGGTTCTTAAGTTTCCTTTCAGCTTTTCCCACTTTTCTGGAGAAGACAGTGAACTGGACTTCAAAATCAAAGAAACCTAGCACTGTGGCTGGCACACACCTGCTGTCCCAGCTACTCAGGAGGCTGAGATGGAAGGATTTTGAGTCTAAGACCAGTCTGGGCAACATGGTGAGACCCTGGTTTAAAAAAAAAAAAGGCTGAGGATTTAACTTAGTGGCACGGTGCCTGCCTTGCAAGCACATAGTCCTGAGTTTGATCCTCTGTACAAAAAAAAGAGACAGAAGACAAGTTGACCTTCTTTTTTGGTTTTTTTTGTTTTGCGATGGGTCTCACTATGTAGTTCAGACTGCTCTGGAACTCACTGGGTAGCCCAAGCTGGTCTCGAATTTACAGAGATCCTCCTGCCTCAATCTCCTGAGTTCTCGGATTATAGGCATGTGCCACCATGCCCAGCTGACCGTTTTTGCATGTGTGTGTGTGTGTGTGTGTGTGTGTGTGTGTGTGTTTTACTTTAAAGAACTGTGTTATTTCCTGCCTTGAGGTCTTTATCTGTGTTGCTCATCTCTTCTGTTCTCCCTTTCATCTGTTGTCTGAATTCCAAATTACATTTAAGGTCTAATTTGAATTTTATTTTCTTAGAAGATGAGGTCTCACTAAATCACTAAGTTGCCCAGACTAGGCTTCAATTTGTGATCCTCCTGCCTCAGCCCCACAAGGTGTTAGGATTACAAGTGTGTGCCACCATATCTAGCTCTAATTATTTTTTAATGTCTAAAATCTGTGAAAGCAGAAGTTGTGTCTGTCTTTTGTCACTTCCACTGCCTAGGATGGTGCCTGAAAAGTAATTTCAAAAAAATGAATCACATGAATGTAAGTGCTATGTTTTGCTGTGTTTTTATTCATTCAGTAGACATCTGTTGAGTTTTGGGCATGAGAGGAAGGTGGGACATGTGGAGACAGTCCTTTCCTTTCCTTTTCTCTTTCTTCCTCCCCCACCCCTTTCTTTCTTCTTTTCTTTTCTTTCTTTATTTGTAATGGGAATTGAACCCAGGGCTTTCATAGTGAGTTGTAGTCAGTACACCCTCCCCTTTTTCTGAGGCAGGTTGTGAGTAAGTTTCCTGACTTGGGTTTGAATTTGCAGTCCTGCCTTAGCCTCCCAGAGTTCTGGGATTATAGGTGTGCACTAAGTTCTGTGTGACTGTGAACCCTTGAAAATGCATGGTCCAAACTGAGATGTGATGCAAGTGTAAAACATTCACTAGATTTCAAAGATTTCATATGAAGTTTAAAAATACAGTGAAATATTTCATTAATTAAAAATGTTTGATTATGTGTTAAAATTATAAATAGGCTATAATAGGTTAAATAAAATATAATAAATATAGTAGGCTGTTATAGGTTAAATAAACATTATTAAGGTAGGTTTTTTTTGTTTTGTTTTGTTTTTACTTTTTAAAATATAGCTGTTATGGGCTGTGGATTTAGCTCAGTGGTGCCGCCACCTGCCTTGCAAGTGCAAGGTCCCAAATTCCATCCCTGATACCAATAAATAAATAAATAAATACGCATAACTGCTAAGCTGGGCATGGTGGTGCACGCCTATAATCACAGTACTCAGGAGGCTGAGGCAGGAGGATCATCACAAGTTCAAGGTCACCTTGGGCTACATGGTGAGTTTAAGGCCAGCCTGGACTACGTAATGACACCCCGTTTCAAAAAACAATGGGCCAGCAGGGCTGGGGATTTAACTCAGTGGTGCTGCCACCTGCCTCTCAAGTGCAAGGACCAGAGTTCAATCCCTGGTCAAAAAACCAAAAAAAAACAACAGCAACAAAAATACATTAAATACACACACACACACACACACACACACACACACACACATGTTTATCTGCTAGAAAAATTTAAATTACTTTTAAATTTAGTACTATATTTCTGTTGTACCATACTAAGCTACAATTTAACCACACAGACTAACCTGGCTTACAAGGGAAGTTTTAAAATATAATATTTTGACAGTGTTCTCAAAAATCAGATTCTACTGATCTTAAAAATGTGAATTTTTTTAGTTGCTTTTGGATTTCAAATATAAGTATATTTTTTTCTGTGGGAAGTTTTGTTAGAAAATGTAAGTGGTACAATCAACAAGTATATGATATTTATCAATTAAACCAAGGAGTTTATAAATCATAAAATTTTGTGGACAGTTTCTCAACTATAATATGTAACTTTATTTTATTTATAATTACATTATTTCAAAAATATTATAAAATGAGAAAGAACATAATGTTTGAAGATCATACCAAATGAATGTATTTCGATTAGTCTGTGTTACATAAATTCTTGTTTATTTCATGTCCTTTTTTTGCTGTCACATATATGTATATTTGAAATTTTTATTTAGTATCTTCATTTCTTGTTATCATGTATCTTTGCAATCTTTAATTAAAAAAAAAATCAGATTCTAGGGCTGGGGATTTAGCTCAGTGGTTTTGCCGCCTGCCTTGCGAGTGCATGGGCCTGAGTTCAATTCCTGGTTCCAAAAAAATTAGATTCTATTTAATACCCCGTACCAAAAAAAAAAAAAAAAAAATTAGATTCTAAAAAACAAGAACCAAGACATATCATGTAAAGGTACAAGATCCCAATGATAAATGTAACTATATTATTTGCTTTATATGTATCAATAAACTTAATGGGGAAAAATCAGATTCTAATTCTACTATTGAGGAAGAAGGGAAAAACAGGCATTTGTAGTAGGCACCCAGTGGTATCTGCCATATTCCTTTTTTTCCCATGGAAAGTTTGAAGATAGGCAAAGAATCTGCATTCTAAGCTGTAAGTAATCTGCATAGTTGTTACGTTCTCAAGGAATGTAGCAACTGGTTTGGAAGACATATCATTTATAGATAATAAAAATGCAATTGAAGTAGCCAAAATACATTTAGGGGCTGGGGCCGGGCTGACTTAGTGGGGTTGGGTGGGTTGACCTGCAGGCACTTCCTGGAGAACACGGGCATGTGGGAAATGAGGCTCTGCCCCAAACTGGACTCTTCTGCTCAGTCCTTTGAGATGGCCACTAGCAGAGGCGGTTGGAATGGGAGTGAAAGCAGGGCCATTCTTTTGATCCCTTTTCTCTGTTCTTTTCCGAATCACTAGGACCCTGTATTCAGCCTTCTGCATGGAGCTGGCCTCCCGTGGCTTTGTGGTGGCTGTACCAGAGCACAGGTGAGAGATGACGGTTACGGTGACCTGTTGCGCAGCAGGTGCCTGCACTGGGCTAGTTCCCTATCAGTGTACCAATTTCTTTTTCTTTCCTTTTCTTTTTAAAAAAGATTTTGTTTTGCTTTACAGTGCTGGGGATGAAGTCTAGGGCCTTGAGCATGCTACGCAAGTGCTCTGCCACTGAGTACACCCCCATCCCCGGTGTATCATTTTTAATCCTCCCAACAAGACCAGGTGCCATAGTCATTTTTTAAAAAGGAGAAAATTAGAATTCAGAAAAACTTGCAGAAAGCGACATGGCTGAGTCAGGGTTCAAGTCCAAGTCTTCAGAATTCATGTTTTTTTTTAAACTCTCCTTTGCCTGTCCCCAGATTTCCTTCAGCCAGCCAAAGGGGAGCCTGACAGTCTTGGCTGGAAGGGAGAATCTGGTACAGGGAAGAAGTAACCTGCTTTCTCTCTGACGGCGTGTGTATGACAGGGACCAGTCTGCTGCCGCTACCTACTTCTGCAAGCAGGCCCCAGGGGAGTACCAGCCCTCCGGTGAGTCACTGGAGGAGGAATGGATCCCTCATCGTCGCATTGAAGAAGGGGAGGAGGAATTTCATGTTCGGAATCCCCAGGTAGGCTTATGCCATTTGGGGAGGGAGAGTTCATAACCCTCTTTTCTTTGTACTATACCCGCTGTATTTATCAGCTTTCCATCGCTATAATGAAATACCTGAGCTAATTACAAGAGCAAAAGTTTATTTAGCTCACAGTTCTGAAGATTCCAGCCCAAGGTCAGGTGAACCCATTGCTTTGCGCCTCTGGGGATGCCAGATAGCAGTGTGTGCGCGCGTGTCTGTGTGTGTGTCTGTGTGTGTGTGTGTGTCTGTGTGGTGTGTGTGGTGTAGCCTTCATCTCATGAACCTAAAGCAGAAGAGACTGGGATCCCCTAATTGCTTTAAGGGCAGGTCCCACCCCTAAAGAGGTTATCACTTCCCTTAGCACCACCTAAGGACCAAGGTTTTAATACATGGACCTTTGGGCATGCTTATCCAAACCGTGCCATTCAATAAGCAAGAGTTTTAACTGCCCTCTCTCGAAATCTTTATCATGATGGTTATAAACTTGCCACATCAGTGGGAAAAAATGGGATATTAGTCAGGTCTTTTTATAATTGCCAGGGTCAGAAACCCACCTTAAGCTTGTTGAGAAAGAGAACTGGTTGGCTCATATAAGTAGACTATAGAAAGAGCAAGGCCGCTGGAACCAGCTTCAAATGCCATCAGGACTTGCCCTCAGAGAGAACTGGCTAGCTCTGTCTCTCTGCCACTGGGCGCATCTGTAAACTGGCTTGCTTTCCAAGGTTTGAATCACAGCTCTTAGCAGGTCTGAGCATGCATGTGTTCAGCCTCATCATCAGAGGATAGGGCTTTTCAGGGATTGTCCCTGGTCTCCCACACCTGCACCAAGCCAGACTTTTAGAAAATCTGGAGAGAAATTCCTAGCTGGGGGCAAAGTGCCCAAATGAAAGTTCCTACCAGAAATACCTTCTTAGATTTGGAGCAGGGGTGATCCTCAGAAGGTGGGCTAACAGAAGGGAATTGGCTGGTAAGTGCTAGGCAGATAAAAGCAACAGATATGTGCTATACATGGGCACTGGATTGCTAGTAAGAGCATTCTTGATTCCTTTTGTTTTAAAAATGATTTTGCGTACATCATCTCACTGATCCTCCTGACAGAGCCTGAATAACAGAGCTGACACCATTATGCCATAGGTGGTGTTATCATGAGCTGCAGGGGCTGGTGTACTTTCTGAGCTGTGTGTGGGCAGCTACCCTGCCCTTAGGGGAGTAAGGTTCTTGCTAGGTGATTTTGGGGTGTTCCAGCTCCCATTGCCCTGTCTCTGTTCCAGGTACACCAGCGGGTAAAGGAGTGCATGCACGTGCTGAAGATCCTTCAGGAAGTCACTGCAGGGAGAACTGTCCTCAACATCTTGCCTGGTGGGTTGGATCTGATGACCTTGAAGGTATGGCAGCCACTGGTATGACTCAGAGCTGAACTTTCTTGGTTATAAGTAACAAACCCACCTCACTAGCTTAACCCAAAAGAATTTACTGGTGCACACAACTAGCAAGACCACAGGAGACTTCAGGCCAGTGTCAGAAGATCCAGGGTTGCAGACATTATGTGAAAGCTCTGGCATCCTTCCTTCCCTTGTGGCTGAGTTACTGTCTGTGTATGTGGGCTTCATTCTTATTAAACTCTCCTTTAGGTAAGAAAAATAGTTTCCAGGAACCCCAGCTTGTGTCTCAACTCATAGCTCCAGAATTAGAAAGAAAATAGCGGGGTATGATGATGCATGCCTGTAATTCCAGCACTCTGGGAGACTGAGGTAGGAGGATCAAGTGAGTCCAGCCTGAGCAACCTGGTGACTTACTAAGACCTTGTCTTAAAATTAAAAATTAAGGGCCGGGGATTTAGCTCAGTAGTTCCGCTGCCTGCCTTGTAAGTGCAATGACCTGAGTTCAATCTCCGGTACCAAAAAATAAATAAATAAAAATTAAAAAGGGGCTGGAGGCCCTGGGAGATAGATAGATAGATAGATAGATAGATAGATAGATAGACAGACAGACCGACCGACAGACAGACAGACAGACAGCCAAATAAGAAAAGAGACTCTTAGGTTCTAGGCTGTGGGCCAGTGTGAATCACATCCTGTCCACCATCCCCAGGTCGCTGTGCTAGAGGGAGAGAGTATCGTGATTGAGCTACCTGGGCTACATCCACTTAGGGTCATGGGCGTCTGAGCCCAGGGATGGAGGTCCTCACCAGGGCCACGTGGATAGAAGAAGGATGGTTCATTCTCCCCAGAAGAGCTGTGGGGCTGCAAACTGCCTACTGCAGGCTAATTCTTTCCCTTGAGGAAATACTGGCACTGTCCCAGGAGAGTAAGAAGTCACCTGGCTGTGGGATTGGCTGCCTGTGAAGGTACAGTCTCCACCCACCCCCACCCAATCTTTTCCCAACTTCAAAGGTGGTTCAGGTTCTGTTCAGGGAACCAAAAAAACACATAAAAGGACAAAGAAAAAAAAAACGTTTAAAAAATATTTTGATGTTTCTCTTTCTAGTTTTTTTAAGATTCATTAACACCTGTATCTATCCATCTCTAGCTCTATCTAACTCTATTTCTGCCTGCATGTGTGTATGCCCATGCATAGTACTGGGGATTGAACCCAGGTTTCCTTGCTGAGTTACATCCCCTGCCCAGCGCCCTAGTTGCCCATGTTGGGATGGAACTTGGTAATTGTCTTACCTACTTTTCCTACTGCTGAGACAAAATACTTGACACCCAAAGTTAAAGAAGGAAAGGTTTATTTTTGTTTTTGTTTGTTTGGTTCCGGGGATTGAACTCAGGACCTTGTGTTTGAGAGGCAGGCGGCAGAACCACTGAGCTAAATCCCCGGCCTGGAAAGGTTTATTTTGGCTTACAGTTTGTAGAGGTTTCAGTCCATAGCTGGCTGTCTCCAAGGGAGGGTGGCATGGCAGGGGGCGTCACAGAGAAGAAACAGTTCATGGTGGGCAGGGTAGGGAGAAGGCTGCACAACAGCAAGTAGTAAGCAAAGAGCAGCAGCGGAAACAACAGGGAGCCTGCCTTTATATTTCTTCCAGGCTACCTGTCCCTTGGGCAGTGCCACCCACACCTAGGGTGGGACATCCTTAATTCCAGTATCACACAGTTAATCCTAGAATCACACACTCTAGATCCAGTCACCTCCAAAAAGCCCCACCTATGACTGTGAGGCTTTGGGGGATATCTAGTAACAGTGATCCTCTAGCCTCAGCCTCCCAAGTAGCTGGGATTATGGGTGTACACCGCAGTACCCAGTTTTGTGTGTGTGTGTGTGTGTGTGTGTGTGTGTATGATTTAAAACAATAATGTTATTTTTTTCAAGCTGCTTTAAAAAAGCTGGCCTCTTCTTTCCCACTTAGCAAAATAGTATGAGATTTTCCTCACACTAATGTTTTTCTATGGCGTGATTTTTAATAGCCGTGTAATATTCCACTGCCTGCATAAGAATGTACTGCATTTTGAGTGTTCACTGTCATCAGACTTCCTCACACAAATTTATAAAGTCAACATTATTACCTCTATACATTGAAAGAAACCAAAAAGGCTAAGAACCAACCCAAAATTACTCAGCCAAGTATGTGGTTGAGTCAAACCTTAAACAGGTTTTTTTATATCAAAACCTGTGCTCTGTGCCCCCAAAGGCTCTTAGAAAATCTCTTTTAAAGGGTCTGTTGATGACCTCCAGGGAGAAATCTCTGCCTGGTGGAAGGAATCTAGAGTGCTTTCCTAACCATTTAGTGTCATCAGCCCCTTGTAGAGAAGCAGGTTTCGTGAGCACTGAAGTGTGGGTTCACATGCTGGGGAGCCTGAGACAGGTCAGGTAATAGCAAGGCTATACAGTCCATGTGGGTTATTTAAGCCTTTTGGAGGAAAAACAGAATTAAAAAGCTAAGTAAGCCAGGTGTGGTAGCACACGCCTGTAATCCCAGCACTCGGGAGGCTGAGACAGGAGGCTCACTGTGAATTCAAGACCAGCCTGGGCTACATAGTGAGCTCCAAGTCAGTCCCAACTACATAGTGAGACCCTGTCTCAAAAAACCAAAAAAATTTTAAAAATTAAAAAAAAAAAAGAAAAAAAAAAGCTAAGTAAATTTTTACCTATCGGATTGAATAAAATCCAAAAATTGATTATTCTCTCTGTTGACAAATTGTAGGAAAATAAACATTCCCTACATTGCCAGTGAAAGAACAAATTGCCCCATGGAGGGCAGTTTGGCAAAAGAGTGTCAGTGTTACAAAAGCACATATTCTTTGATCCAGCAGTTTCCAGCTCTGGGAACTTATAATACCTACACACATGCAATGTGATGTGTGTCTAAGGTTATTCATTGCAGTGTTCGTCATAGAGATTGATAATAGCCCAGATATTCACCAGTCAGGAGACTGGCTAATAGATTATGAAGCAGTGTATGTATTATTTGAGCAATATACATTGGTATTGTGCATAAACTTCATCTTTCAGTAGTTTAATGACAATAGAAATTTTTCTCTGCATAATGTTGACAAGGTATTCCTGTATGAGAGGCAATATAAGGATCCAGGCTCCTTTTATCTTAGGGTTCTACCCTCTTTGGGCAATTTAGTGAGACCCTGTCTCAAAATAAAATTTAAAAAGGTTGAAGCCGGGCATGGTGGCGCACGCCTGTAATCCCAGCACTCGGGAGGCTGAGGCAGGAAGATTGCTATGAGTTTAAGACCAGCCTGGGCTACATAGTGAGTACCAGGTCAGTCTCAACTACATAGTGAGACCCTGTCTCAAAATAAATAAATAAATCTATCTATCTATCTATCTATCTTAGGGTTCTACCCTCTTTGACTCACAAATCCGCATTTGCTGTGTGTTAAGCCAAAACAAAAAACAAAACAAAACAAAAAAATGGAAACAGCACAGAACAGTTTTTATGGACCAGATTTGGGACTAGATATATTCTCTTTGCTCACGTTCTCTTGGGTAGTACTCCATCACAGGGCCACATCTAACTGCTGGGAAACAGTCTATCTGTGGTGATCAGCTAGCTCTTCACCCAAGGTGAAGTTAAATGGAGCTATAAGAAAGGATAAGGAGGGAGCCGGGCATGGTGGCGCACACCTGTAATCCCAGCACTTGGGAGGCTGAGGCAGGAGGATCGCTGGGAGTTGGAGACCAGCCTGGGCTACATAGTGAGTTCCAGGTCAGTCTCAACTACATAGTGAGACCCTGTCTCAAAAAAACAAACAAACAAACAAACAAACAAAAAAAAAACAAAGAAAGGATAAGGAGGGCCAGGGATTTAGCTCAGTGGTTCAGCTGCCTGCCTCATGAGTGCAAGGACCTGAGTTCAATTCCCAGTACTGAAAAGAAAGGATAAGGAGGACGGAGGATGTAGCTCAGTGGCACTGCACCTACCTGGCAAGTGTAAGGCCCTGAATTTAATTCCCGGTACTAGGGGGAAACAAAAGGATACAGAAGTTCTATCTATGCTAATATTGTTATACAAAAATGTTAGTCAACCAGTTGCAAAGAGGGGAGAGAGTGCTCGCTTCAGCAGCACATATACTAAAAAGAGGGGAGAGAGTATATACTGGTGTTTACTTGTGTGCATAAGCAGTCTCTGCTAGAATGCATAAGAAACAGTTACCTGTTTTGGGGGGAGGAAGTGGCTACTATGAGTAGGCAGCAGAGTTTTCCATAGACTTCTGATTTTGGAAGTATATGAATATTTTCATTAATTAAGAAAAAAGAAAGAAAAAACTAAAGGGGCCATCTACCCAAGATCCTGAAGGGGAGGATTTAAGTAGAAAGTCTTGGGATAGGAATTAGGGACAGCAGAGGAGAGCAAGGCTTCCGAGTAGTCTGAGCCACAGAGCCTGGAGGGATTTCCAAGCCCCTTAGCAGGTGGCTGCAGTGGCTTTTTATCCCCCCCCATGGCTTTTTATATAACCATGCCCTGAAGGCTCCTGAAGATAACCAGAAATAGGTACTTGCAGAGCAGTTAGAGCGAATAGACTCTTTCCCTGGGCTTTGGATAAAATCAGGACAGATATCCAAAAAAGGAGGTAGAACTTGAGCTGGTTTCTGCACAAGCATTCCTTGCTCCAGAGCAAAGCAAAGCAGAAGGGTGGCAAGGACCTCAGCATGGCGCTTGTCACATCCCCCAGGACCAGTGCGTGAGGCGAGGAATCTAGAGTGTGGAGGTCATCTCTCATCTCAGCACACTCCTGCACTGATGCGCCAGTGTGGAACCTGACAGCTTTATTCATAGATATCTGAATGTCTGCCTTAGGCCAGATACTGGTAAGTGGTGAGATTACCGAGGAAAGCTGGGAAATGTAGTTCTCAGAATTCCTGCCTACTGAAGACCATTTATATTAAGGATTGTCTTGTCTGTTTTCTACTAAGCAGGAGGTTCATTTCTTTTCCTCTTGTGCTGTGGATCAAAGCTAGCGCCATGCGCCTGATGGCCATGCACTCTGCGTCTGAGCAACAGCCTAGGGGTCTAAAGAATGTGGTTATCGCTGACGCTCCCACTAATGCTTTTGCCCCATTTCCTTCCTTAACGCTGAGGGGTCCCCTAAAACACATTCCTGGCGTGGCTAACTCTCTGCTTTCCTCAGGGCAGCATTGACATGAGCCGCGTGGCTGTGATGGGACATTCATTCGGAGGGGCCACTGCTATTCTGGCTTTGGCAAAGGAGGCCCAGTTTCGGTGAGTTTCATGGTGAGGGTGTTGCTCTTAGCTCTGCATGCCATTCACTCCCCCAGCAAGGATTTATTACACAACTGTTATGTCTGAGGCACTCTTTAAGGGCTGGGAAGTCAATGGTGAAGTTAGAAAAAAAGATCTAGCTAGGCATGGTGGCACACATCTGTAATCCTAGCTACTCAAGAGATTGAGGCAGGAGGATTGTAAGGTCAAGGCCAGCACGGGCAACTTAGTGAGACCCTGTCTCAAAATAAAATTTAAAAGGGTTGAGGCTGTAGCTCAATACTCCTTGGGTAAAATTCCCCTTTACCAGGAAGAGAAAGAAAGGGAGAGAGGGAGGAAAGGAGGAAGGAAAGGAATAAAGGAGGGAGGAGGAAAGAAGGAAAGAAAGATCTGATATAAATCATGGAATTATGTTATTATGGGAGGAGATAGACTAGTACAGAAGGTAGCACATAGTAAAATATCTAAGTGCAGTGAGGAAAATAAAACAGGCTGATACATCAGAAGGTCTGGAAAGGGACACAGACAAGACTTGAAAAGCAAAGAAACCAGCCACGCAAGACTTAGGAGAAGTTCATTCCAGCCAGCATGAACAGCCAGTGCAAAGGCCCTGAGGAGAAAAGATGCTGGCTGGGTCAGTGTGGGGGGAGTCTAGAGAGAGACAGTGATTTGAGAGACAGTGATTTAAGACACAGTCGGAGATTAGCAGGGGCCAGATCATGGGACTATTTGTCCAGGATAAGGAAATTTAGATTTTATTCTTACTACAATGGAGCATACGTGGATTTTAAGCAGAGAAAAATCAATCCTTTTTACATTTACAAAGAGTTTTCTGTCTACTCTGAGGACTAGCTTGTAGCCGGACCAGCCAGAAGACCAGTTGGAGGCAGGCTGAATCAGCGTGAAGCGGAGGTGGATTTGCATTAGGATAGGTAGAGAGAAGGAATGAGTCAAGATGTGGTTTAGAGTTTTCAGGACTTAGTGATGCATGAGGCAAAGAAAAGGGCAAGTCAAGGTTTTTCATTTGTATGTCTGTCACTTGAGTGGAATATGAAGAGTTCTTATTGAGACAGAGGAGATGGGGGGTGCCAAATCTTAGGGCCACCGGTGTCATAGTTGTGCCTTCGGCACCAAGGCGGCCTTTCCTGACCCCCACCCCGGCTGCCCCTTGTGCAGTTAGGGTGGTAAGCTGCACCGTTTCGCTGCCTTGTCGCTGTGCCTCCCCTGCCAGCGTGGGAGCTCCTTGAGAGCAGGCATCTGTCATCCAGCTGTGTGTCAGAAGCACAGGTTAAGTCGTAGGATCTGAATTGTTAAGTGAATGAAGCGCCGTCCTGAGTCACCTGAGGGAGCCATCTGAGATTAGGTCCAGGGAAAGCTCTGGTTCTTGTTCTCAGGGAGTGTGAACTCCAGAAGGATCTGTGGCAACAGTGATCTCTAGCCCTATGGGCCCTGGTGCCCCCTTCCTGGCTCTCAGAGACTTTAAACCCCCCACCCTAACTATTCTCGCCTGGGTTTTGTGTGGTGACTCCAAACATCTGGTCCTGTTCCAGGTGTGCTGTGGGCCTGGATGCCTGGATGTTTCCTCTGGAACAAGACTTTTACCCCAAGGCCCAGGGCCCCGTGTTCTTCATCAATGCTGAGAAATTCCAGACAGCGGAGAGTGTCAACTTGATGAAGAAGATATGTGCCCAGCACGAACAGTCCAGGATCGTAACTGTCCTGTGAGTGAGCCCCAAAGTCACGATCCCAGTGTCTCCATTTCCCACTCAACTGTGGCTCCATTGATTTTTCTGGATCACCCAGAACTTTCTTCCCATTAATTGACCCTATGAGTACTTCGTGAATTGCCATTTTAAGTTCTTCAGAGCTTCATATTTCCCTTCTTTTCCACTTAACTCCACCTACAGTGGTTTTTCTTCAACAGTTTTATGGCTTTATGACAGGACTTCCCTGGTACTTTCTGGGATTGTGAGTTGGCAAGGAAGGGATGTGGGTATGGATGGTTCCGGAGATATCCAGCCTCTGGGAATCTAATTGGGTCTTTTGATGAGTGTGGATTCACCAGAAGGTTTTTAGAACTTTCACGAATACCTGAAATCCACACATATTACTCCAGTGTATATTTTCTCCCATAAACCGTCTATATTTTGGCCAAGAGAAACTACATTTTCATCACCAGCACTATTGGTTGATTTTCTTTTAGAGCCATTTTTCACAGAGCAAAACAAATTTTTAGTGACTTTGGGATCCTGACTCTACAGGAGGAAGTGGTGTGGAGCTAGAGGCAGAGCTGCAGTCTCCCTGATCGGCTGCTGCCCTGTACTTGAGCCTCACGGCACATGTGCCTCAGGGACTCCAGGTCACATTTCAGGAGCCTGTGGACTTCTGAAGTCACTCAGGTGGTTGAAAGGGGAAGCCAAACCCCTGACTGAACACAAGTCGCTGATCGTCAGTGTCTTCTTGCTTGGCTCAGCCTCTCCCACCAGGGCCAGCCCCTCCCCTTTCCTTTTGATTTCATGGCAGTGGAGAGTACAAGCCTGCTGAAACATTGCCCAGCCTGTCAGACTTGGATAGTAGTGAGCAGCAGGGAAGAGAGAAAACTGTTGGAATGGGGTTCACAACCAGGGCTTAGCTACAGGCAGTGTACATTTCTTTTTCTTTTTCTTTTCAGTGCTTTAGGTTGAACCCAGGGCCTCATACATATTAGGCAAGGGCTCTACCACTAAGCTACACCCCCAGCCTGGCGATCAATCATTTCTTAAACGGAGTGTTGAATACCCAAGTATTCACTGTTTTCTATACATTGTGTTCCTTAAAGAATGCATTCTTGGGGGGAGTACCAGGGATCGAACACAGGACCTTGCAAAGAATGCATTTTTAAAACTTAGTTTTTCTGCATGGTATCAAATAGTTTGTTGTTGTTTTGGGTTTTTTTTATTGTTGTTGTTTTTGTTTTTGAGTCGGTCTTGCTATGTAGTTCAGGTTGACCTTGAACTCACTGTGTTGCCCAGGCTGGCCTGGAACTCAGTGATCCTCCTGCCTCATCCTCCAAGTGCTGGAATTTCTACATGTGGCAACATGGCATCAGATAGAATAGCATTTAAATTTTCCATCCTCATTGAATTGTGTAGTAAATTTATTTGTTTTTTGGGTTTATTTTTTTTGTTACCAGAAATCGAATTTGGCACCTTGCTCTTGTGAGGCAGGTGGCAGAACCACTGAGCTAAATCCCCAGCCTTTGTGTAGTAAATTTTTGGTTTCGGTTTTTTTGAGACAGGGTTTCACTATGTAGTTGAGACTGCCCTGGAACTCACTGTGTAGCCCAGGCTGATCTCAAACTTACAGTGATCCTCCTGCCTCATCCTCCTGAATGCTGCAATTACAGGCGTACACCAACACGCCCGGCTGAGATATCCTTTTTTTTTTTTTTTTTTT